TCTATTATTTACGTAAATGGGCTTACTTTAATTGCTCGTTTTAGCAATACAACGTTTCATAAATAACTACTAATTACAATAATTATTTTTAATTTTATTTTTTGCTTGTAAAAAAAAAGAAAAAAAAGTTTGTACCAAAGGAAAAAGACTAAAAAAAATTAATAAAAAAAAATAAAGAAAAAATTAGTTTAATAAAAAAGTCCTATAAATTAAATAGTGACACATAAAAATTTATAAACATACTTATCGCTTTATATACACAAACAAATACAGTAACAATATGTTCTATAAATCATTTACTAATTTATGTGTGTCCGTCGTCGTTGGGTGAATGCAGTTAATGGACTGCATGGAAAATGTAATAAAATTCTAAATGTTGCGCTATAAAATTTACGGAAAAACGTAATGTGTGATTAAAATGAAAATATTTATATTGAGAATTTATTTATTAATTTTTTTTTTTTGCTGCTTAAATTCAACACACAAATCAATTTTGAACAAAGCTCATTTTTTTACCGTACTTGTGCATTAGTACAATATATATGTGCGTGCGTAATAATAATAAATTGCTAATAAATTAAATTTTAATTTAGTATCAACGGAAATTTGGTTACATAATTATTATTAAACATTTTTTTTCTATTAAATACATATTACTTAAAATGACACGCATTAACTTTTTATTGTTGCTTTTGTTCATTTTTTCTTGCTGGTTTTGCAATTACAAGTTTTAGCCGCTGAAATTGTTTAAAATTAATTTAAAGCTTTTTAAGCTCATTAAGCCATTTTATTTATTTAAGCGTTTTTGTGGGTTTTAATTTTTAATAACTGCAATTTAACTGCGTAAATATGCCCACACACACACGCACACACACACACACTTACACCCATATGTTATAATCGCAGTTTGCCACGCTTGACTTGTTTGCAAATAGTTTTAAATCGAATCAAAATAATGCGGCTATTTCTGTGAAATTTTAGAATTAGTCTGCTTTTATTAAAACAATGAATGTGAGTGAAAAAAAAAATAAATTAAGTGTATTTTTAATTTATTTAAATGTAGCATGATTAGTGATGGACATATGTTTCTACGCACACTTAAATAAATATATAAAAAAATATATCTTAATGGAATTTTAATCTGATGGATAGCGCAACGTTTTTGCATGCACTACATACAGGCATATGTATGTACATACGTAATAGTAAAAGTGGGTAAGTGGGTCTTGAAACCACCATTTTAGGGCCTGCTTTTATGAAAATTGTAATCCCAAACCATTTTTCTGATTTTAATTGCAATAAACATACATACATTTCCCTTTTCGCTTTTCGCTTTTTCAATTTGATATTTAGTAGTTTTTTCCAAACATATATGCGTGCATATGTTTATATTATATAATTGGCGCTTGGTAAACGCTGAAGTGATTTTCGACCGAGCTACTCTTCCGATTTGGAAAGACCCACAGTTTATAATAAGCCAACTCCGAGCAGCCGACGGCTTTTTATGAGGATCTACTAAATTTGGTTGAGTTTTTTCCACCACTTAAACCACCTTAAATACTCGCACACTTGAGTCAAGCGAAGGGAAAATAAAGTATAATATACTAGGCCAAAGGCATATGTAATTGCTGCCCGCTTTCTCCCATAGATATAGAATTCGTTTTCACACTAGTCTATGTGATCGAAAATTGATTCAAACATATTTGACTATCTAGAGCTCTAGTAGATAAACAAAACCTTAATACGATGAATGGGGAAAATCGCCAAAAACCAAATAGAAATGTCTACCAAACAATCCACGTAAACTTAAAGTTGTAATCTTACTTTACAAAACGAGCAGCAATCGAAAAAGTACAAAAAAATTTACGCCAAAAAATTTTTTAAATTTAAAAACAAAATTTTTTAAATTTAAAAAACAAAATTTTTTAAATTTAGATTACAGAAAAAATTAAGCATGGAATGATGAATGGTGATATTCTTGACTGAAACGGATTATAAGTTAATCACTTGAAACAGGTTTTTTTTTTAAGTTAAAGTTGAGTTTGAGTTAAAAACATTTCCTTAATTGTTATGCAATGAAAATATTTTTGTGGTAGAATAAATTGTTGACTTAAAAGGTCAAGGAAACGTAAAATACACACATGAACGCACACCTAGCGATGCAATTATTTCCTTAGCTCCTCATCCTCTTCTTCTTCTTCTTCTTCTTCTTTATATATCTCACGTCCCTACTAACAGTGAATAAAGCACAAAATAAATTATTGAACGTAGGCAGCGTTACCAAACCAGCCTTATATGGGGCAGCTCATTCCCAGCTCCTATTTGAAGATAGTTTTTAGGATTTTAACAATAATTATTTGGCCTGCGACGTCGAAACGGTTATACACGAAAATTAAATAAATGCAAAGTTTAACAAAAAAAAATGCGAGTTGTAAATCATTAAATTATAAATTATTATGAGCTCCTTTCCATGCAGCAGTAATATAATAAAAAAGTAGTAAAAATAAATTATCCTACTCCTCCTCAAACAGTGTTCTACAATGAAGCATCTATTGTTTTCAAGCCACGGCACTAATATTGTCCAAAATGATCGGATATATTTGAGAGATAAAACAGTCCAAGTACGCTGATGGAATATATTCCAAAGGACTATTGTGTTGTAAAAAATTATTAAAAAAAAAATTCTCAAAAGCAGTATATGGCATTGGCTGGCTCTTACTAAACGGAAATATTGTAGAATTCATATCTGGTGGAGATAAACTTTTGTTAATTATTGTAAATATAGTTTGTTGCTCTATAGAGATTTGTGATTGCTTGTTTCATTCAAAACACACGCAGTTTTTTTTTGTATATTTTTTGTAATTGTTTTTTATTTATTTTCTTTCTTCTCACAGTTCGTATTTAATTTACTAATGCTGAAATATATATTTATATTTTACATTTTTGGCTATTTTTTGCCATTTTTGTTTATGGAAAAAAGCAAATTTTGATTTTCCAGCACATTTAAATTTTTTTCTTATTTATTTGTAATTTGTTACACACATACATTCATATAAGCTAATATTAGCAACTAAGCTTAGTTGACTAATTTCATTTATTTCATATTTGTTTTATACAAACTATTTGCGTAATTACTTAAATTAATTGTGTATTTTAAATGCTAATTATTTACAAAGTTTGCATATTACCGTTTTGTTTTGTTTTGTTTTTTTTTTTACTTTCGCCTTTTATTATTTACAAATGTTATTTATCTTATATTTTTAGCTTATTTTTATTGCGTACTAAATAAATTTTTTATTTTATTTTTTCTTTTTTGCTACTTTAACTTTGTTTTTGGGCTTTCTTTTGATTTTTCCTTTATTTTAACTTATTTCCTTTACTCTTTGATTCATTATCGTCTACCGTTCTTTTCTTTAATTTTTGCACATTTCGTTTTCTTTTTTTGCTTTTTAGGTGACATATTACTTTTGGGGTTTTTCGCTTTGTTTTGGAAGATATTTTTGATTTTCTTCATTTGCATTTAACATTTTTACAATTTTAAGCATATCAACTATTTGGGTATAATAAATATTTAATAATTTTTCATACATATTTGTGCACATACCAAATTTAATTTTAAAATTAATGAAATTACAAATTTGATCTACAAAATCCATCAATAAAAGAAAAGATTAAATTATTATAAATGCGGGAAATTTGGTATTACAAAAATGGCTGAAGGTAGATATAATTTTTGAGATACTTTTTTGATAAAAGATAACTAAGACTTGATTTTTCTAAAAGCGATTTTAAGTAAAAAAATTAAATCTTCTCGTATTTAAGTATGTAAAAAAGAAGAAAGAAAAGAACATTTTCGTTTAGGACTGAAGAAAAATTAGAATATTAAAAAAAAAAAACAAACCTTGTCATTTTTTCAATTTCATATCAGTATTTATACCTCCAAAAAAAAAAAAAACATCAAGAAAAGTTGAAATCTTTTATTTCCACGACACTTTTATTGATTTAAGTTGCATGGGAAAGTTCATTAAAAATGCAATAAACAAAGGGTAAACTGTTTTTTAACGAACCAAAAAAATGGAAAACCCAAAATTTCCCCTTCCTATTTTTCTTCTATTATTTTCTATTACTTGTTTTAAAATGGAAAAAATTGCTTTAAATAAAAAGTATAATTTTTTTCAATTTCTTTTCAAAAAATTGTTCTTTAGGAAGGCGAAAATGCGAGAAAAAAGATTATAAATTGAATTGCGGAATATTAATTTGCAACAGAGACTCTCAACTAACAGAATGATGTCATTTCGTTTTTTTGAAATGAAAAATAAACTTACGAAATGATTTGTTTCATTTCGGCGTCATGCTATAAAGACAAAGTGAAGTTTTTAATGTTGAAATCGCACAAACTTAACGTTGAATTTGAAACAGCTGCTGTTACATGCGATAAATACAATATAACAGCACACATGTCAGCGTCTAACATTACCTGTTAACGATTTAACATTAACGAAATCCTTTTGTTACGGACAAAACGAACGGAAAGGCTTCTACCAAATTGAAAGATATTTTCAAATGAAGTTTGACGGTACGATGATCTTCACTATGCTTTCCCATAATTTTTAAAAATTTTGAAAGAAATCATTTTAATAAAAATCCTTTTATATTTTTTAAATTTCTCTTCTATAATATCTGAGAAAAAGTCTGGTGAAAATTATTATTGTCTGAGAAAGTGTTTTGTAAATTGGTCAAAATATTTTAAAAAATGATTTATTGCATAAAAAAAGTGATTAGTTTTTATAATTAAGGAAATGCAAAATTTAAAAATAAAAGTTTTTCTCAAAAAGCGTCACTATTGCAATTGAATTGAACAAAGAAAGAAGAAAGAAGAACAAATGAACGATAATAATCATATTAATTCATAAGTGAGACTAGAAAATTCTGTAACGACATAACATACACACAAACATTTTGGCTTCTCACTAAATTGTTTTTTTTTTATTTTCATTTCATTTTTTTATTTTTGAGACACTAAAACACCAAATGACGACAACTAAACGTCAACGTTAACATTTGGACTCGTCAAAAAACTGCGATTTACAAAAATAATAAGCAAAAAATACAAACAAGAATACACATACATATATATATATATATATATCTAAATATATTTATATACACATACACAAATGTGTGTGTGTATTACTTAAAACTATTAGCTTGCTAAGCTTAAGTGTGGGCAAGAGCTAAGAAAATGGCGCAAGGTGGCGGTTTGAAAATTTCTGAACGTTAAAAAATGCAGAAAAACTCTCCAACTGTCTCCACAGCGCACCTGCCGCCATTTTTTTTGATCTTCAGAGCTCCAAACACACACACACCTATTGATTTCCATATATATTTACTTTGTGTAGCCTTAAACACTAATATTGCTATACACGCGCGTCCAGTTCTTCGCTCTTCGCGAAAGAGCAAAGCCTTATACATATACAACAACAAAAATGAAAATGCTAAATACAATACATATGTACATACGTACGTACGCTGGAGTGTGGGCCTTAAGCTTTATTTACTTTTAAGGTCTAAGCTAAGAATGCAACCCTGCACTTAAGCTATATAACTGCAATTTTATACATGTATATTTATAAATATTATATATATGTACATACAGAGACGAAGTGTGAAAAAGTAAAATCGAGCTCTTTAGCAATAAATATGTAGTAAATCACATCACATCTTCATATTTACTTTGTGTTTAGCTTAATAAATAAATAATATAATTAGCAAAAAATTCCTACTTTTTATTAATATATATATATATACCTATGTATATATACATATATATTTCTAATTAATATATTTACAATTAAATCATTCTCCGTCTACCACTGCCCGACTTACACATGCAGGGTTTGTGAACACGCCGCTGCAGCACCGTTGCCCTGCGCTGACGCCGCGGCCGCCGCTGCCGCCGAGTTGCACTTCTTGACAGGCAAGATCGTCACCTCCAAAGCCGCCGTCGCTGGTGAGATGCCCAACGCTTGAGGCGTTTGACTTGGCAGCATTTCCTCATGTATCAGCACTTGGCGGTCCGTTTTCACTTCTTCTTCTTCATCATCTGGCATGTCCTTAAGAAACTTTGGCCGCATATACATGTACAACATCATCCCAATGCCAACCAGAACCATTGCATATTTTTTGAATTCGTACGCAATCCACGCCTTCAGAGACGGTTCCTCAACGAGGTGTACACGTTGAACGGCGTTGTCATCGACGTTGGAGAGCTCTACTGCCTCCTCCTCTTCTGGCTTCTCCTCGGCGCTGCGTTGGGTGCTGCTGGTGGTGCTCGAGGTGGACGTCGTTACTGTTGTGGTTACTGTAGAGCTGCTGCTGCTGCTTGTACTGCTCTCACTGTTACTCTTCTTTGCTAGCTCATTGTCTGGATTGTAGGGACTAAGGAAGTCCTTTGAACTATCCTTCAATATGCGCATGCGCGAATCCGCTTCGCCTGAGTTAGCACCAATATCCATGGCGCTTGCGGAACCATAAAGATGTGGCATCATTCCTTCCTTGCTAGCCATGTTGCCGGTCTCCAGTGTGATCGCTTGCATGCCGGTGACGGTGCTGTCACTCAGCTTGTGCGTGTCCACGATGAGTTTGTACGAGCGCCGCATGCCGCCGGTCTCCTGCGAACGAGAATCAAGAGCAAAGGGAAAAGGAGAAAATTAGTAAAAATTACGAAAATTGGCCGAAGATTGTGCAAAAGTAGTTCATAAATGTAAATAATTGTGTGAAACTTTGTTGCATTTTTGTTGCTAATTTGTTTTTGGTTTGCAAGTGTCGGCTTACTGCACTCAAACGACCGGTGCTTGTGCGCCTGTCAGTGCAGCAATCGGGAAAATGCTTGTAAAAATGTTAACAAATTAATTTACAAATGCAATGCGACGACGAGGGAGGAGCGATGAGCGACGAGCAACCATCGATGATGTTGCGCGCTGCACGCATGCGTTGCTGCTCCTGTTGTACATGCAACATACATGCAACGAACAGTCGCTCAGCCGCACTTATGTGCCATCATCGATTGCTTGCAACATGCCAATCGATCAATATTTTTGCTTGCTACGCAGCGTTCGTTTTGTTCTACACTGTCAATTAGTGTACAAATATTAACAATAATAACAACAGCAAGTATTTTTTGCAGCCGATTCGACAATTTACGTCAGTATCGCAGCAACACGAACAACATGAAAGAATGCTGCTGCAAATCATTCATAATTGCGTGTCATGTCAGGGACCTCTGGATACCAGCTAATCACACCGGGTAGGTAGTGGCACGCAATGCGGTAGATGAAGCAGAAGCAGAAGAAGAAGAATAAGAAGAGGGCACAACCATATGAATGATTTAGGAGCTTGAAATTCTGCAGTTCAATGGCTCTAAAAGGTTTGAATGTGTGAGCACAGAAAAACGAGAGATACCCAACGCTATCATGAAGAGCCATTCCACACTCAGCCTATGAAGATGACAATAAATTGTACCGCTATTATTATTGCCGATTTTCCTGGGAACCTTCTTCATTATATATCCCTCCGTTGGAGAGTCTAGCGTGCTATTTACGTCAGCTTTTCCATATTACTTTAATATTAACACCCGCTTAGAAGGAATTTTGGTTTCCTACTTTTAGTACGAGAAGAATATTCGAAAGTTTAAACCTGCACAAACTTTTGAGAGAATCCCCTATGTAGTGGAAAATAGCTCAAGAGTCAAACATTATTGTCCGAAACCGAAATCGAATGAGTGGAGACGAGACACACAAGGAAGATAGTTTATAATTTTATGCTCACTTCTCTCGACCAAATCAAATGTGGCTTATAGCAAAGACAGCGCTCAAAACAAAGAGATGTCCATGAGCTTCACATTAACGAATATCACTGTGATTGCCAGTTGAAGTTTTCTTAAAAAATTGGGCTTCCTCACCACACACCACTGGGTTACTAAGAGTGATATTGATATCTATGTGGCGCGAACAAGTTCTTTGGCCTGCGTGCGAGTTAAAAAGCAACTCACGAGATCACTCTACCTTTCAGCATAACAAAGCCCAATCAACTTGGGAGCCAACGAATGATTACTCGCTTTCGCCTAACGTAAAATACAATAAAAAGGAACTGAATTTTTACACAAAAACTGTATGTAACACACATATACATTTGGGATTGTTCGCACAACAATCGAACACGTGTGCATGCCATGTAGCCCCGTTCGTCTGTTGTTGGTGGCGAAAGCCTCAGCTGAACGAACTAAAAGGCCTGCCTGTCGATCGCATGTGATCATGCGATCTTTTGTGTAACTCTTATAGCTCACCAGCACACCACGGTCGAGGATACAAAGAGATGTGGCAAACTTTAAAAAAAAGGTAGTATCGAACTATTGAAAAGGAAAGAATAAAAAGCTAAGACTCGCGCGTTGCGGCAATTGTCAACAGCTATGTTGCAATGATGTAATTAGACAATTAGTGTGGCTTTCACACCCGGCTGTAAATATTTGATAGCCAGCCAATAGTGGTCTACTAGGCATGAACTAGAAGCAGCCTCCTAAGTGGCTGGCTGAATTACAAAGGTACTTACCACATGCAAGCATATGTGGCTGGCTTGGAACTACGTACGTACGTTTGCAGGCAAAGGAAAATGTGCAAGCGAAGAAAATGCTAGACAATGTGCAACGCGGCGCTACACTGCGCAGTTGGAAACCAGTTCTCCGGCAAACGCTGATTATCTGTGGCTACGCTATCTATCAGCATAGTGCACAAAGCGCTGGCAATCAGCGAGTGCAATGAGAAGCTTTTGTTTAATATAGCCTGGTTTAAAGTGAATATAATACATATATATAAGTGAAGGTACACCGCTGTGGCTGGGAACGTTGCTGCGCTCAGCTAAAATGGCTAGAGACTAGCATTACCGCAGTTGCAGCAGTTTTTTTAGCTGCTCAACATTATATATTTAACACCAATCGTAAGTTTTTAAACAAGGCATGAAAGTTTTGTTTGATTGGAAAGAGATAGATTTGAAAGCATTTTAAAAGGATTTTTATGAAAAATTTAATCGATATACATATATAATGACTTCTTCCCTGGCAATGTGTTCGAGAACATCAAAAATATTAAAGAGTAATAGTTGGTACAGCAGAAGCGATAATGAAGACCCTAGAAGTTATTCCTTATATTGGGTCAATTGGATGGATAAAATTTCGTGGCAATTAGGACTAGTGCCCTAACTATGAAGCCAACCGTAAGACCTAATGCCGGATATATGTAACATAATCCTTCTTTGGAAGTTCACGCTGTCCGTAATTGTGAAGATACAATATTTATATATATATAAGTATGATGCCTGCATGGTGCCACGGTTTTTCTATCTTTCTATAGATAATGCTGAATGTGGCATATGAGCAACCAGGAAAATGTTGTAATCTACACTTGGCGGTGGCGAAAATGTCACCATGAACAATGCCTGCAAATTTCCTGGAGTACCTGGGAGTACTTTCAGCGTGCGCCTCTGAGACAGCAAAGTAAGTAGGACTAGTAAAATACTAGTTCGTTTATGTATGCTGATTTACCACTTCACAAGAGAAACATGTCGCAAAGAGTAGTTAGCAGTACACAAACATTCAAGGTTATAATAATTTTTATAATTGGCGCTTTGAAGCCGCTGAAGCGATTTTCGGACGAGTTCCTAATTCAATTTGTGGTTTTGCTTCTTGATGTTTTCCACCAATTGTAGGAACCTACCGTTTATACTAAGTCGCCTCCGAAGGTCTGTTGGTATTTTTGAGAAGTTTTTATTTTATATCAGAAATAATACTTTCAAAGGCGTTGGCATTCCCTGCCGAGAGACGACCGCAATTAGAAAATTTAGCTTAATTTTTTATTTTAATTAAATTTTCTATAGTTTTTTCTGATGATAGTACGCCACCAGAATTTGAGCCCGAGTCTTCCGAATGGCAGTACGCAATGCTAGTCGCTCGGCTACAGCGGCCAAGTTATTTATTTTTAGTTTTTGGTCGTTCCATAACTTCAATCCATAAAAAAAAAAATTATAGGTTTCTGCAGAGCCATCAACAGTGATTTTGATATTATATACGTTAATAATATTTAATAATAATAATATAAATAATATTTGATTATATTAATTGTGAGTTCATCTCATAATTTTTTTTTAATTTAGTTAAAATGAATTAATGTATTGTATGTTGCACGAACTTCCGAGGGACATATTTTGATATTCATTGTATTTTGAAATCAGTCGAGTTTCAAATCTTTCGGCAGCTGTTTTATTCGTCGCAGCCGCAACTTAGTTTTTCCATAATTTTTTTTATTAATCTTTTTCTTTTTGCTCTCGGAAGACCTTTATGCAATTTTTATTCTCCCTGTTTATTATTATTTTATTTTATTTTTAACTTTTCATTTTCTCAATTCTTTTTTTCGGTTGGTTGTGTGTTGTGAACTCACCTTATGCTTGCACGTAACTTGTACGTGATATACTGTATCTGGCCAAAGGGATAATTCAACAGTAGAACTATCAGTCAATAGATTGCCCATTAGACCGCCTCCGGAGACCTCCCAAGTGACCAGACACTGTTTCGATGCATTCGTAATCGCCTGATCCCAGGCAATGTTCGTCAGCACGAGCGAACCTTGACGCAAAGCCGAATTAATGTTGAGCGGGAAGGGGCCCAATTGTTGATCGCAATTGTTCCAGCACTGCAAGAAAGAGAGAGAGAGAGGGAACAAAATGAAGAAAGGCTATGTTCAGCAAATGAAATTGAATATGAAGTAATAAAAAACGAGAGAAAAGGAATGAAGATATACTTATACCTAAACTTACTAAAGCAACAATAAAAAAAATGGCAGATCGCAGATGTCGACAAAAGTCAAAAGCGAAAAAGAAGAAGAAATCAAGCGGCAGAGAGAATTATATGTATGTACAACGACTAAAAGGTAGGTAGCAGTGGCGCAGATAGATGCATTTTTTCTGCCTCTGTAGAGGTATTTATCTGTGTGTGTATATATGTGTGTATGTGGCGCATTGTAATTGAAATTAATTTGTGGCATGTTGTTTGTTTTGGCTGTTAAATTGCTGAAGCTTGCTGATTGTTGTTCACTGACGCTGGTGCCCACGTTGCACGTCAGCGCAGCGCAGCAGAGCAATTGAGGAAGAGTCAAAGTTCAGCGGCAGCGTAATGGCATTTAACCCGTTTTAACCCATTTTATGCAAATTACCGCAGACTGCATGTTGCACGACTGACAATGGAGAAGAAGAATAAGAAGAAGAAGCATGCAAACAGCAGCCACGTCGCGAGGTTGAGGGTGGCCTCTTTTGCTTGCAACAATCGATGCGTTCGCGGCGATAAGTGTTGCAAGCAGAGCGCAAAAGCATAATTGTTTATTATTGTTGTCTTTACTTTGGTTTCTTTTCTTTGGTAAGGAGAAGCAAACAAATAATTTTTAAATACCTTTCTACCTATGAAGCGATACACACATCTTCACATATCTACCTGCTAATCATGTGGCACATACGCAGTTAAATTATGCACGGCTGGAATGCTGTGGCACGAAGAAGTTATGATAAGTTTCCGTTTTTTTTTTTTGTATTTGTTTAATGCGGGTTTTTGTGTGGCGGGTGAAAGGCTGTAAAGTGGCTTTTGTGGCAAATAGGAGTTTTTCAGTTGTTTGCACAACCAAATAAGGCTTAATGCGCTACTGATGAGGTTGCAACACGACGCAGATAAGAATGTTGCCCAAATGATTTTCGTATTTATACACACATTTTTTGGGTTTTTGCCCAAAGACCTTTTTTTGTTTGCAATCGACAGCAGCGATCTTTATTAGTTTGTCATGCCACAGCGCAATAAACACAAGTTGTTGCAATAGCGAAAGTAGCGAGTGGAATATGATGTAGCATGCAAGAAATGCAGGCAGTGCAGTAGCTGTTGCACAGTAGCTACAGATTTGATGTTGTGCAACATGGCAGGCAAGAGTGGTAGGCTGCTACGTAGTTGCTGCAAGTTAAAACAATGAACGTTGGAGGGCGCAACATGCTACATTTTAGCATTTTGCATTTGTTGTGGATAAGATAAGCGTAGAATGCAGCAGTAGCGCAGTAGTTTAACAATTTTTCACATTTTCTTGTTGTTGTTGCAAACACTTTTTCAATTTTTTTACATGTAAAAATTTGCTATAAAATGTGGTGAGAAAAACAAACAATGAACCAAACGATTGTGGCAAGTTGCAAGTTCGCATTGGTGCGACACACAACAAAAAGCTGCTGAAATTAAATTAGTTTGGGTTTGACGTAAAAATTGCTTGTTATGTTCAATAAATTGATTGATAAAAAATTGTCTACAAAAATTGTTCATGCAACAAAATGTGGCACGTTTATTTTTAATTTATTTTTCGCTTGCAAACATTACTCAAATGCTTATGCATAAATTCTAAAATTGTTGTGGCAAGTAAAGCTCTTTATATAACTTGCAACAAGCCAACACACTTTAGCTGGTTCATTTATACATACAAGTCGACGTGTGAAATTTTGTGGCAAATACTTCTTATCCAATTTTTTTTCGTTGTTGCATGAAAGCAAAATATTAAAAATGCAAGTTACTTTTCACACGAGCGGATGTTGCATAAATGCATGGGTGCATGAGTTTGATGTGAAAATATGAGAGCAACCAATGCAACGTGTTCATGTGGCAGCTGCTACTACTACTATTGCTCAAAAATTCTGACAACTAGAATTTAATATGATATGAAAATTGAGTTAGCATGTTGCAACATGTGTGGCAAGTGCTTGCTCATGTTGTGTTTTTGTTGCAAAAATTCATATTTAAAAGAATAAAAGAAAAAAACGGCTCTCAATAGTGCAACTTACTTTCATGTTGCATGCAACAAAAATTGCATATTACTTTTTTTTTGCGCAAAAACGCAACAGCAACTCTCCCAGCAGTATTAGGTAATTTTGCTTGTTGGCGGCAGGCTGCCACATACGCACATCCACGCCTGCACGCCGCAAAGTATGCAATGCACACACTCAGCTTAACGCAACGCTGTGCAGCTCAACTCAACTTTGATATACGCATAAATATTTTAACAACTTATTGAGCGCTTAAGTATGCGCAAAGGAAATGGGAAATAGGAAGAGCAGTGAGTTGTTCAGTAGCTTGAGCAGCAACTTGGCGGGGCAAGTAAAGTTAAGCAAAGTATGCGCCTTGAGGAAAAATCAGTTTAAACAAACTCAACTCCTGTGTAGCGCGACAGGAAGCCATGTTGCAAGTATATGTATTAAATTCGCTGAAATAACTGCTTAAAATGTGGCAAAAAAAGTCAAATATTTCCTTTTTCTTAACCGCCTGCAACAACTATTTTGCCTAGTTGTACGTGTAAGCTGTGCATGTGTATGTAAATGTTGCCGAAAGGCTTTTTCTTCTTCTGCGCTACCGTTAAATTTCACTTACATTAAACATATTCTTATAGCTTCTCGGTGTTGCATGCATATTGTATGCATTTTGCGGTATGCCACACATATGTGTGCATGCTGAAATTACTTGTGCCTTCTGGGAATCTCACTAAAATTGTTATTTAAGAAAAATTTTAATGAAAATTTTGAGCCAAAAACTTTCTGGTGTATCGTAATTTAATTAAAAAAATTCTTAAATAACAATCTATGGTGTAAGTTGAGCAACAAAAGGAGATGCAATATAATCTCATTTTAGCTGCTAATTATTTTTCAAAAGTTTCTTTAGCTCAGAGTATAAATTAATTATGCATATTGCGCGTTGTTGCGGAGTTTTGGAGAGATTAAGGACATCCTAAACTAAAAGGCGCTTTTTACGAATATAGTTCGAAAGACATATATTAAGGACTAAATAATACGATGTATTTTCTAAAGACACTTTTTGAAAAGAAAATAAAATATTAAAGGGCTTTTAGAAGCACACGTTTTAGAGACTAAAAAAGTCAAAGGGAATAAAAAAGACTTTCAAGAGAGATATTTTAAACTCTACATAAATTATAGGTATTTAATAATGACATATACTTTTATTAAATGCCCTCATTAGCTTTGAAAGAAGTCTTGATTTTTCAAGAATTTTTCATTACAAAAAAAAAAAAATAAATATATTTAAATATGTTGCTTGTGATCTCAGCACCTGCTATAATTTTAAACTATAGCCTTTTTGCCTTTATATATTATGAATTAATATCTTCCGCGAAAAATTCAATTATTTACAGAGCATTAGCTGAACTCTTTTCAGGACAAAAAGTAGCAACAATCAAAAAAATTAAAACAACTTCCTCCTTCCTCCTTCATTCGCTCATTTCTTATTTAAATAGTATTTTTCTCAACTACCACTTTAATTTCCCTTTTTAGCTGCCAACTTTTCGCCTTATTTCGCTCATTTCTGCAATCTTTCCTGCCACTCAACAAAATCTCCATAGACCTGCCGCACTTACACACTCTGCTTTTACTCTTTACGCGAATTTCGCATAGTCAAAAGGTAAAAAAAAAAATAAGAAAAATATATTTAAAACAAAGTGCATATTGCATATTTTATGAAAGTATGCGTCGTTAGGAAACCAAGTAAGGGAAAGGAGAAGCGAAAAGTGAATTCAAATATAAATTCAACCATAAAGGTGGAAATGCAAATGGAAAACCGAGCGGCGGCAAACCGAACTATGAAGTGAATGTAAATTGGCGCAGCAAGTGTTGCACTAGAATGCTACACATAAATATCTACATAACTATAAGCTATGTACAGTTTTTGCTTATATAACCTTGCTGTATATGTGTCCGCTGATAAAAGCATTATTATAAATTCTTGCGCTTTTTTCGCCGCAAAAATTATGCTGGATTTGTTTTTAGCTAATTTTCGAAAAAAAATTGTTGTTTTTTTTTGTTTTAGTTTTAGTTGTACTCATTACTTTTTATAGCGCAATTAGCTGGCAAAATATGCAGTGTTGCAGTTAACACATAAACTCAAATAAAATTTATTGTACATGATTGTCTGTGTTGTGGCTGAAAGCGAAGAATAGCGAGAGAATGAGAGCAGAAATTGTTGTTTGTTGTGGCAAGAAAAAAAAAGAAAAAATTTATGCAGCGAAAGTTTCCTTAGCAATAGTTCAATATTAATGAAAAATGCTATGAGAAGAATAAAGTATCGAATTTGAAGAAAGTACCACTCACTATTCTGTAAACACCTTTGGTGAATTTCACATTTCATTCATTTATATTAAAATTTGTTTACTTAAATAAAGCAAATGCATTAAATATTAAACTTTTTTATGAAATTGAACTTTTTATGAAATTGAAAAAAAAACGATCTAAATAACTGCTAGACAAAGCTTTCAAGCAGCACTTATAATTTTGTTTAGTACTGTAAAGCCGAGAGTAAATAATTTCCTTGCACATTCAAAAGCAAATTCAAAAATGTAGTAAAAAAAGTCGTTGGCAAAAAATGTATTTATCTATTTTTGAATTAAAAAAGCTTTGTACTTCCCTGTGATAGCCGTGGCAACGCAATTCATTTTTTATGGAAAAATTTGTATTCAAAGTGAACTTAATAATTAAAGATTTTTAATTAAACCGCACAATGAGCCCACTCTATGACTCGGGTGCAACCGCTTGCAGTCAGGTCCTCAACATTCTCTTGTTTTCGATCATTTTAATTGGTTATTTGTCATAAGTTTGAGAATTTAAAAAAGTAGTAGAAAAAGTAGCGGCGAAAGTTATGTACTTGTATTTATTAAAAGCATTTTTGAAATGCTTTGAAATTTAAAGACATAAAAAAGCATAGCACTCAATGAATAAATTAAAAAAAAAAAACGTAGTAGAAAAAGTAGTAAAATAAATTTTAATTTTTTTTAATTTTTTAAAAGCGGTTTTCAAATCTACTGTGATAAACTTGTACAAACATATTAGTAGGTAAGTCTTTTCAAAATTGTAGTAGATATTTATTTAATTTTATAATTTTAAAAATATTTTTCTCTTTTTTCTCTGTAATTTAATTATGGCAATTATTATTCAAAAAGCATTAAAAAGTTGTAAGAATCTTTAGGCATAAACAAAGGTGGCATGAAACACTGTTTTTTTTAGGCGAAGAGTGTAATGGAGCGATGGTAGTATGATTGTGGCTTTTATATAGAGACTTATGTTTGTTATACTGTGTGATATTTGGCAGAAAGGCTTAAATTTTTATTAATGAAATCCTTAAAATAATAACTAATTAACTAAATAATTTTTTTTTATACTATTTCAACATTTTCCATTTTTTCATAAAATCTGAAACGCTCATTTCAAGCTCAACTGACTACCACACAGCTTCTGTTAGTGCAGTCCGTTAAAGCAAAGCCAAAATCCTCTCCACCCAAAATTAGTAAAAGCACTAAGTATGTATGTATGAATAGGCAGCGGTAATGTAAGATAGCTAAGCAATTTGTATTTTATGAATACGTTTTTTTTTTTTTTGTATAAAAAAGTTAAATTAGTTCGCACTCACCAGAAAACTGAACGCTTCTGGGATATAACTATTGATATTAGGTGGTGTGATGCACATCTGTAACGTAAAAAAGAAGAAAAAGAAAGAAATTTTTGAAGTTTGTTTTCGTTTTCTCTTTTTCCATAAATTTCTATGTAAAATTATTATTTTTTACAATCAAAATGCACTTGTTTGTGGTATATTTTTTTTAAATGTGGTTTATATTTTTAATTGCATGGAAAAGTTTAAATTAGAATTTCAAGTTTTTCTTTATTGTGTATTATACATACGAGTACTGCAAGTGTGTGTAAATATATTTGTATTGCTTTTTTAATTGCAAACGAATTTGTTTTCATGCAGTGAGCGAACTAAAATTAACCAAAAACAATAATAAAATCAACATCGTGCAAGAGGGAAAGTGAAAATAATTAGAATCTCAAAAATAGATTTTTAGTGCACAAATATGCATACGAGTTTGTATGTGTGTATGTATTGTAGGTAAAATCAAATTGCAAAAGTTCATGTGTGTGCTTTTTCGGTGATACAAAAGAAAATGCTCTGGGTTGCATGTAAGGGAAATTTTGTATTGGTACATAGAGGTTGGCAGTGGAGTTTATTTTAAATTAAAGAAATATATATATATATATATTTTTAAATATTTATTAAAAATAAAATATCAATTATATTATAAAAACATATCGCTGAGAGTGTGAAAATGTTATATTTTTATTTTTTTTTAATAAAAAGGAGTTTTTTTCATAATATTTTATTAGTTATATTTAAATATACCATACTTTATTAACCATTAATTCATGTCTATATAATTTTTTTCTCTTATGTAAACTAATACCCATAAATATGTAATGTTTGCCATTCTCATTTCTGTTTTCGTGCCACATACAGCAAGTTTACATAAATGTCAATATGATGAACATGCATGTCAACACTTGTAGAATAAACATCAATATTTGTCATTTCGTACAACAAAAAAAAAAATGATATTTTCGAGCTTTTTTTGGTTTCGAATTTCACGCGCTCGTGCGCGTAGATAAAATGAATAAAATTGAACAATCCATGTTGAACGCGAGCTGTGCAAAGGTGTGGTGAGATATTTTTAGTGAAAATAAGGGACCTTTTTTAATTTTGATTAAAGCACAAAAAATTATGCAAAATCTTTTCACTTTTCAGAGAAAAGTTATGAAAATATTTAATAGTGAGCAAAAGATAGAATGTTAAAAAAACACCAGTAAATTCCCAAAAAATAAAGATTTTTTATTGAAACAAAATTTTTCTTAGCTTTTGGGGTTGTTCTCTAATTTTTTAAAAATATTTACATGTGTTAAGAAAAATTTTTTTTTTATTATTCATCGAATTTAAATTTTCGTTATTTTCAATTTTAATTGGGTATTTAGGTTTTTAATGTTTGTACATTTGAAGTCTAACCTTTTTTTTACAATTTATGATAAAATGGGTTAATTTTAACCGAAATTCATTATTTAATATTTTTAAATTGTAGTATAAATTAAATATAAACAAATAATTTCTTAAAAGAATATTTTCTTTAAAAATTAAAAATTTTTTCGTAAGAATTTAAAAATAATTTTATTGTAATTTTTTAATTATTTTTTCTTACCATTTAAATATTTGAAAAACTTACTTTTTTCGTAAAGTTTGAACTTCCATTTAATTCAGAATAACAAAAAACATTGTAACAAAAATTTATAAAAATAAAATAAATTAGTGAAAGTGCAGAATAAAATTTAATTCGATTTGAATTTTTTTTATTTCATTTTTTTCCCTTACTTCTAATTAACATTTATTAAATCATTAAAAAATATAAATAAATTTTATTAAATAACTTCAATATCAGTGTGATATAAAAAAACCCCTTTTTGTTGTAGTAAATAAAAGTAAAATAAAATTTTCTCCCCCTAAAACTCTAATCGGTGAACTTCAAAAGTCACCGTTTTTCTAATCATTCGCCAATCAAAAACTAAATTTATAAAATAAAAAATTTTAAATTAAAATCTCGAACCAAACTTGATTTATTATGCCATTTATAAATACATATATCTCTATCGGTATTCGCTACATTCTTCACCAAACCGAATTCCGTTTAATTAACATGGCCAATTCGGCAATTGGCTGCTGTTCTTTGTTGTCTAATGTGATTACCTGTTGTTCGTATTGTGTTATTGTGTGAACGAACGACTGAACCTGCCGCTTGCTATTTGTCATAACTACAACACATAGGTACGAGTGTGTGTGCATTGATTACTACATTATTTAAATGCCTAATTAACAAACTAAATATGCATAAATTATAATTATGGGCAGGTTATTGTTTGTTGGTTGGTCGGTTGGTTGGGGTACATAGTTGTTGGTTGGAATCCATTTCATGCATCACACCGCCAATTCAAATTTAATTCAACTAATGCAGCGGAACATATGTACATACACGTACATATATGCATTTGCATATTTATAAATTTACATTTATTTAAGTATGTACAAATACATTCAACACCCTGTCGCCAGCAGGTGAGTTCGCTGCACGCCAATGAATGGAGGAGAGTTTTTTGTTGTAGCAATCATTGAGATTTAATTTAAAATAAACACATACATACACATGTTTTCACTTAATATTTACATTATAAATTTTATTAATTACTTACTAACCATTTGCTCTTGTTGTTGCTACCAACTAACTAACTAACTAACTAACCGACTGACTGACTGACTGACTATAAATACCTGCAGAGTATCTTATAAATATGCAAAATAGATAATTTGAATTTGAATTAGAATAATTTTGGGAGTGAGTATGTGAATGCAAATGCGATTACCATTGTGAATGTGTTTATTGTTGAGGATGATGATGAGCGATTTATGAATTTACATGAACATTTGACAATTTATGCATAACAGTGATTAATGACAACACAGGAAAGAGACCACAACCATCTCAGCCATAAGTGAGCGCATGAGTGACTGAGAAGTGTCTAATGAGCACTCACCATGGATGTGGTGAAGCGAGAAATGATGAACCCGTACCCCACTGACTTTGATCATTGTTGGCTAAGTGAATGGCTGTGATGTGATGGGCAGTTTGACCAAATGATTGTCGCTCGCTCGTGCGTTGGTTAAACTTGAAGTGGCAATTATGGCAAGTGAGATTTGTATGATTGTATGTTTTAATACAAGAATATGATGAACAAACATACAAATGTGAGTAAGTAGCATTTGTATTTGACTAAAGGGTTTGCAACTAGAGTGTTGACAGCTGGCAACTGACCAATGAGTCGAGTTTGGGCAATTAAATGTACATTTCATAGTTTGATAGACAGGCAAGTGATGACCTCTTAGTACCTGGTGCATAGGTATTTAACATATTTACATGCGTACATAGGTATGTGAGTGTGTATGAAGAGCGAGCTTTAATTGAGTCAAAGAGATAGTGATTAATTTGCTGGAAACATGAAACTACATACATACATATTTACAAGCAAACGTTTAAATTTATGAATTAGTAGCTTTTGTGAAAAGAGAATTGTCAAGTGATTTTGGAGATGACTTGGAAAATTAATTAGTTCGTTAATAAATTATTTCTTTGTTTTAGGTTTTAAGCTATTGCAGTGAAGATATTTCGGAGAGAAAAAAATTGAAATATTAAACAACAATATAATATTTTTTTTTTTAAAGAAGACATTATTATAAGAATAAAAAAATTTGAAATAAATTGTTTAATATCTAAAATTAATTTTAATCAATTTTATTTAACATAAATTTAAACCACAAAAAAAAATAGATATTTCATTTAATATAATTTTTAGATATCAAAAATATATTTATTGTGAAGAAATACATGCTTAAAAAATCAGTAAATTAAAAAAGTTAATGAGATTCTTAAGCTTGAAAATTTTACATTTTTAGAAGAATTAATAAATTTATTGGAAAAACATAGAGACGCAAATTGGAGGAGGAGCTCGACCGAAAACATCGGTTTAGCGGTTTCACAGTGCCAATTACATTTATATAAAAATTGATTATTTCAAATATGGTAAAAATAAACCAAAAATAATTATTTAGTAATTTATAAGAAATTAAATTTAAAGTTATTTCAAGTAAAATTAATGTTTTTATAAATAAAAGGTTAAAGTTATTTTTTTTTTGCTATATATACTTTTTATTTATAAATAATATTTAAGATTAAAATATATTCAAATATATATATTTACAAATTTACAGTATTACACTTGAAAGTTATTTTGATATTTTAGTTTTCCTTGATTAAACAGAAATAAGTTAAAAAAAATAAAATAAAATAAATCACTAAAAAATAACAGTATTGGGGAAAAATTTCATTTCATATTCAAGTTAAAAAAAAGTATGAAAATATCTCTGCTGAGTGATGCCACTTAAATTGCAATAAATTTTAAATTTTAGAAAGCCAATCCTTGCACACTTTGCACACATACACACACTCTTTGGCTATAAAAATTAGAAAACAAATAAAAAACATGTAATGCACTTGAAGAATCTCGAAAAAATTGAAGTAATTTCCAAGAAGATGAAATGACAACATACATATATTTGCCGTTATAGGTCAAAAATTTAGTTTATTTGCTTTTTTGAGGCAAGCAAAATGGAAAGTATGGCTTTCCAGTGTCACAACGTTGATTGTTGCGCTTAAGAAAATAGTAGAGATTTTAAATTTAAGTGCGGTCCTTAATCGCATAAAAGCGACAAGTCAGAGTAGAAGGTGGACGGAAGTGCCTGAACAAGGTCGACTATATGCTTGTGTGTGTATAAATATCATACTACTCATCATACACTCTCATATTTGTGTATGAAAATGTTATACATATTGTCCCGTGGCACAGCTGGGTTTAAATTTGTCAACACTTGCGCTAAGACAACGGCGCTGGAGAGCATTTTAGTTCAATTATAGTCATATGTTTTGATATATTTCCCAAAAATAGTGTATAGTTGAGCCAATACAAACATATGTATGTAGGCTGGTACCTCCATACACTTATGTATGTGTAATGTCTGCGGCGGAGCTCAACCAGCTCAAC